GAGATTTTGGTGCATATTGATATGACAGCATCACACAGATATTGCAGATTTGTCATCAGTAATACATGCCTTCCTGTATGCAAGATTTCACTCATTTTTCTTCATCCTTCTTCAACCTCAAGTCTCTGTTCAACTTGCTCGAGTTCCAGAGGCTGGTGCTCAATTACTCACCGCCAGCCAGAGTCCACGACCTGCCTCGTAATCAAAAGGTGAGAGCCCTACCTCTTCAGGTCCGACGGGGTAAAGCGAAGCACCGATTATTAAGTCTGTGCATGATGTCGTCCAAGGCTTTCAAGTTCAGTTGACTGCCCTGCTTCATATCCCATTTATATAATAGCAGTGGCGCTACAGCCTGTCACAGCTAGCAGTGCTTTAGCTCTGAGGGTTTGACCTTCTTAGAAACATTTGCCATCATTCAACAGCTGGCGATCGTGCCCTAAGGTCACTCCAGCTTATCATTTTGCCCCCTGACAGTTAACTTAACTGACTGCTAGCAAGCTGTAAGAAGTGCCGACTGGCGTGAAATGTTTGAAGTCTTGGTATTTATCTGCCAGGATAGAGATCAGCACGCAGAGCAGATGTGTCATGATTGATCCAGGATCTTTAAAAAAAAAAAAAAAATTAATTAATTATTTCAAATTCATCTTGTCACACACACCGATGTACTAGCAGTGTAGTTCCCAGGATGTCTTCACACCTTTTCCTTACAGAGCCCTCACCGTAGGTTTAGTCGCCTGTTGCTAATCTGGTCTAAGCCTCTGCTCTAGAAGCATAGTTTGGGGTGGTCATCCCTTCGTCTCACTTCCCCGTTTTAATCACTGACCCTTTGCTTTAGTGCTACATTGCTACAGGCTGGAATCTAATCTTTACATAAACATCCCTGAACAGAAAAACAAGTGAGCTTTTTGTAATCTGCTTTCAAACCCTGTATCTTGTTGGCATTATGTCACTGCTGTCATTGCTGATGTTAAAGATAAGAAACTCAAAGTCAAAATGTATAATTTTCTTTACTTAAAGATTGTATGTATTTTCTCTGTGTTTTGACATGTTATGAAAATACAATTAAAACTAGGGATGGGTATCGTTTAGGTTTTATCCGATACCAGTACCAAACCGGTACTTTTGAAATGGTGCCGGTGCTTAAACGGTGCTCAAACCGGTGCTTAAAGAATGGAGAACACAAAATTGGTCCAAAAACCTCTCATGTTCAGCTGTTTTTTTGT